TATATTATATTATATTATATTATATTATATTATATTATATTATATTATATTATATTGTATTATATTATATCAGTAGACACCGGAGCGTGAATTATGAGTTTGCTATATGACAAGTTCGGGATAATCTCCACTATTTAATAAATATTATTATGCGTTGATCAGGTCGCAAGAAATATTCCTTTTACATTTTCCCGAAGATAAGCTGAAGTTTTAAACAGACCGCGACCAAACAAAAGGCTATATTATCTTCATATTTACGATGCAATATTTAAGGCCCTTACTTCTTTGACATTATGTTTTTTTAAGAAAACCTACTCACAAAAAAATAATTATTTTCTTTCTGCAGCAATAGCTAGTGACCCAAGTATCTTAAGATGAAATTGTAGAAATTCTCAGAATATTGCCAAAGCATCGCCAATAAAATAAACTAAATGATTTTATAGGCTGTTAGGGGGACTTTCATTTGGTATGAAAGTGCATGAAGAAGAGTTTCGTAGATTGATTTCACTGGAAGAAGGCGGATAAATCCCGTTGTACTTCAGCCGTTTGGCTTTTATACGACGTTCAGGTTGACGCAGTCCACGAGACCTCCCTCGTTTCGGGGGAAAACGGGTTGAGCTTTCGTCCATCATATGATGAACGTCATCAGAGCCAGTTCTCATTCCTGTAAAAGTCTCACGTTAACACTAGGACAAGAAGACTGTTCGGCTCTATATTACCTCTTAAGCAAAGGAAAATTAAATACCTAGATGGATATAGAGTGGTTTGGCTAATTTTCATCCATACTGGTTCTGCTACTTTGCTCGAGTGTGTGTGTTAGCGTCTATACGCAATACCGGTTCTAGAGTTATCAAAAAGCTAATGTCAGGCTCTGATCATCAAGGCTTAAAGACCCAAGAGAAAGCCCTGGCCGAGACTGCCTGAGTCCGTAAGCAAGTATGATTGAGATAATGAGATGTGAGTTTTTAAACAGATAAATCAAGTAATGAAACCATTTGTCTAACCTCTTAGTCTAGGATCATTAACGTTTAACCACCCAAGGAAAGGCATGATTGAAGCTGCGTAATTTGGTACGTCTGGTTTGATTAATGAGCTTAATTTAACATGGGCGAATGTGAGTAAAGTTAGAACCATCACCAAGCATACAAATTGAATCGACTTCTTTTGGATGGCGGCTCAACACCCTCTCTGTCCTTCAATCTATCACTCAAGCATAAATAGTTCTTGGAAGTTTTTTGACCTTGTTTTCGCAACTTGGTCACATTGGTAGGAAGACTTAGAGGAACGTACCTCTCCCTACCAATGTGACCAAGTTGTAAAAACAAGGTCAAACAATTTTTATACAACGAAAGGAGACTGCGACCACGCAAAAGGCCACACCATCTTGGTTTTCATACCTTCGATAAATAATTCTTACTCAATTTTATACCACCATTCCTCACATTCAACGCATTTTCTAAACTATTAATTTCAATAGCCTCTCATCTTTCTTTTAACCACAGACATACCATAATCAGCAAACCTGCTAGTTTGAGACCATTCTATTTTATGTCCAGTTTCTACCAGATGTTCAGCCACTTCTGACCGTTGGACTCGGCTTCCTTTACAACCATTTTCGTATTCTTCCAATCTTTGTCAAATAGGTAGGCATGTCTCACCAACATAGCATCGACTAAATGAGCAAACAATTTTGTAGCAGCCGGATCTCGATAATGGGCCATATTTTTCTATAAAAGATGGCATAACAGAATAAAGTGTGAGGGTTTCTTTGAACACTGTTTTCGTCTCTCACTTTCTTTTACGCTCGTCCAACATGTTAGATTAAGCTCATCAACTAAACCAGATATGCCAGATCACGCAGCCTCAATCATGTCTTGGATGATTAAACATTAATGACCATAGACTGAGAGGTTAAGGTAAGTGGTTTCGTTACTTGATTTGCATATTTACAAGCTCATATCTTATTATCTTAACCATACTTGCTTACGGACTTACGCAGTCTCGGTCAGGGCTTTCTCTTGGATCATTAAGTCTTGATGATTAGAGCCTGACATTACTTTTTTGATAACTCTTATTTAAAACCAGTATTGCCCATAGACGCTAACCCACACACTCAAGCAAAAATAGAAGGACCAGTATGAAAGATAATTATCAAACCACTCTATATCTATGTTTTTAATTTTATTTTGCTTAATTGAGTCTATATAAGAGGTAATATAGAGCCGGATAGTCTTGCCCTAGTTCTAACGTGACACTTTTACAGGAATGAGACTCAGCTCTGATGATGTCCATCGTTTTCACTCGAAACGAAGGAGATCTCGTGGAGTGCGTCAACCTGCAGTACAATGGGAATCATTCGCCCTCTTCTAGTGAGATCGACCTATGA